CAGAAGCCTAAATAGCTAGTAAATAGCTGATCCTGGATTTAAAACCAGGCAATGCTCCAAACCACCCTGACTCTAAAACGTAAAGTTTAAATGCCTGGTTTTCCCCAACCAAAGTCTGACATTGAGGCTGAAGAGAATTGGCAGGAGATAGAGAAGAATACCTAGAGGGTTTGTTCTTTTTTTTGAAATCAGTGTTTAATAGGCTCCTTAAAATTGGCAGACTTGTATATCACTGACAAAGTGTCTACTTTCCTGTAACATCAAAGAGTAATTGTCAGTTTTTTTATGAATATAAGTTGATACAGGCAGGAAACAACCCACACAGTTTGCCACCTTTTCTCTTATGAAGTTAATTGATTTCTACTGGTTTAAATTCTATGCCTAAAATCAAGTTTCCAATAAGAAAGCATGTAAACTCTCTCTAAAAGGTATGCAGAGACCAGGCACTATACAGGGATTGAAGCAAACATTTGAACTTGTTTCTGTCCTTTATACATTTCTCTCTGTAGGTTATGTCAAATGTGTCTTTGCAGATATGCTAGGTATAAAGTCGCTAGTCATAAAAATGGCCAACATACATGTGTAGAGTATCAACTATGTGTGCTTGTTCATTTTTCTCTTTCCTGGTATCACTTCCATTTTATTTAGGTTGAAACTAGGAAACAGCTAGGCTATTAAATGATTTGCATAAAGAGCATCTCTGCAAATAGTAAGCAGAGAAGCAAGACTATAAACTCAACACTGTGAATCATTAAGATAAATAAGAGGAAGACATGTTCTAAGAGACTGTGTATTGGCTGGCCCATCCATGTGCATAACCAACACCCTGACAATCAAGACAGAGTAGGAATAGAGAAGAAGGGAGTGAAACAATGATGACACTTTCTATTAATGAGTAAATAACCAGGAAATCAATAGATAAGGACTAAGAGGCTCGTACAGTTCCCTCAAGGGACAGTTTTCAGGTTATTTGTTTTGTTTTATTTTGTTTTGTTGTTCTAACAAACAGAAGAAGGAAAATGCAGTCATCATCTGGAAATGTAGGGAGGCCATCAGTCACAAGTGAGAGTTCATTAATTTTCACTCAGAGTCACTACTACGATTAGCTCTAATTTAGGTGTTATTCAAGAAATGGGTTCAAGGAAATAAACTGGCATGGAGTATTGTAAGAGAGGAGATGGGAATGGTCTGAAGTTAGCAGTGTGGGCTGATGGCTATGGTAGTCACTTTTAGCTGGCCAAAGGATACGGATTTCTGTGGGGACATCAGCAAGTGATCTGACCATTTAAAAAGTCTCTTTTTTTGAGTCCTTCACATCTAGGCTGGGTGATGTGTTGATCACTTCTTTACCGCACCAGACAAAGCAAGTATTGAAATCCAGCTGACAGTCATGCATGTTGTATTCTCTCATCCTTGCTGGTATTATTCTCTTTTCTTTTGCCCAAAGATAGCTTTCTGAAACTTTTCACTAAAACTGGACTCTTTCTCCGGGATAATATAGAAGAGGAAACATGAATAGAAGGGATAGCTTGTTATTTTCAGTACAGCTGAACAAGTGGGATGGGGGGCAAGGACCAAGTTGGAAGAATGTTAAATGGAGAAAAAGAGATGCCTGCATTTGAAACTATACAGTAGGCCCTTTCCCTGTAGACAGGCAAGACCCTGATTTGTGATTTGTCTCTGAGGCTCACCAGCAGAGATACTAGGCTCATTCTCCAAGCTCTTCCCCCCACTTCATTGCTCTTTTATCCACAGTTACCCCTAAACACAATCAATCTCTCCCCTGCCCTACCTTACTTTGGACATTGTCTCCTCAACTATGCCCTTCCCTACTTCCTTTTAAATTTGGAAATAAAGCAGACTGCATGATCAAGAACTTAACTGGTTTCAGAAGCATCAGCTCCTTCACCACAGAGTAGATAAACCCAGAATTTATGACTAATTTTTTTTCAAGGTAAAATTTCTTAGCTCTTGCAGACTGAGCATGTCTTGTGGTTGTCTCACTGTTGATAATTCTTCTATTTACGCAACTATTTGTTGACCTTGGCTGTATTTCCTGTCCTGAGCCTGTCCCCTGCTCGTATGCCATTCAGTTGTAGAATCAAAACTTACCTGTAAAACCACCAGGGAATATTGGGATTTGTATTATGGTCACTGTGACACAATGTTTCTGAGGGATAAAGAAATTCCTAGAAAAGGGACTGGATGAATTGAATGGAGCTTTGAAAGCAATGCAGAGTAGGGGAAAAAAAATAGAATATTAACCTCATTAAGAAAATATTTGGGCTTTTCTAAACACATTTACTATTCAAGATTACACATGTACTTTTAAAATTTTATAAATTCTGTCATGCTATCTTAGATGAACAAAGACCTGTTTATTATATGAATTTCTGTTTTGCTTATACCTATATCCTTTCAAAAGCAAACATCTTAAAAAATGAACAATAACACTTTCAAAATCCTCCCCAAACTAACCAAAGCCAAAATAAACACACAGTGATATTTCTTCAAAGAACTGCTTGTTTCACTGTCAGAAATCCCACCAAACTCAATCTATGTAATAGATGTGCATCTTGACTTTTTTTTTTTCTTTGCTTTATATCTTTAATATTGTCCTAAATTCAATCCACTTCATTGGCATTACCTGCTGGCCCATTTGGTCTTTATACTTGGATGGGTCTGAACTTATCAAGGTGACCTATGTGTGATATTTAAATGGAAGTTTTAATTTGTCATTCTTAAAACCCAGCACCAATTAGCAGAGACACTGCCTCCTTAACAAAGGAGCAGGACCGGATGTGTATGCAGTCTTACAGCCTCTGGTGGGTTTCATAGCCTGGCTTGGGCTGCTCCAGCCTCATCACACTTTGGCTATCTACAGCACGCAGGTATGAAGGCAGCATGAAGGACCTTGCAGTGCTATTTTCCTGGTACCCCATGAAGCCTGAGCACTTCAGAATGGGCTCACACTCATGGAAAATCAGTTTAAGCCTACAGAAATGTCAAACGTCTTTCCATAGTTTCCTTTCTGCACACAAATGGAATAATGCACTGTAAGTAATGAACCCGTTAAAAAGCAAAACAAAACAAAACAAAACAAAACAAAACAAAACAAAAAATCACTTTCCCTTAAAAGCAACCGTCTCCCTAGGATACCATTTCATATTAAAAGAAGATGCAAAGAGTAAAAAAAGTCAAGCGTGCTCAAAATCTCCCACACATGTTGGAAATAAAACCTCTAAAAAAGTGAATACGCACTGTGGCACACACCTAGCCTGTAACTCGTTGTTTATGAGGAAATGAAAATTAAAGCACTATGGTTCCAATAATTCTGAATAAAGACACACTAACAACATTAGGGCGGCTTTCAGAGAACAGGAATTTACTTTTTCATCACAAATGTGCTTCGATCCTAAGTATTTTCTGACTTTTTACCATTACAGAACGAGTGATTTGTCTGCCCTGTTTCAAGTGCAATAAATGAATTTTAAAAAGTTATGAAAATATGTGGCTGCTTAAACAAATTCTTTCAATAGCCCGTTGGGTATCTGGGGTATCCTTATATCAGGAATCTTTGTTCTTAGTCTAGGAGGAAAATTGCCAAATACACTCCAGAGTGCCAGGCTTAAAAAGGTGCTGAAGAGAGCCTGCCTGATTACCTGACTTCCAATTTGGCTCACAATGAAAGGTAGTAAAATTACCTTGGTGCCTTTCAGTTGCTGCTCCGGCTGCAATAGACCTTATCTAATAGTTTATTACACCCAGAAAACAAAGCATATTCTAAAGAAAAAATTCACTGCTCCAGTCTCTGACTGAATGGTCTCTTTGAATTCTTTTGTCGATTTCATAGATTTCTAACAACCCGAGGATTGTTTTAGAAATCAGATTTTTATGCCAGCAGCACAATTTCCTCCTCTGTAAGTAGGACAGATTCATCCCACAAGCAACAATGGATTCTTCCCTGCTTAACTCAAGCATGACAGATTAAGCTTCAAGCAGACCTTGAAATGCCACCTCCCCGATTACAGAGGCAGGTGTTTGGGGTATCAGCCGCATTTCTTCCTTGAACTGCCAGCTGATGAGCCACTGCTGTCTGAGGTGGCCAAGCAACCCCAACTGAGCGAGCTGTGTGAAGACTCCACAGGGGACTGTCAGGGATGAGGTGACACACCTCATTGCGGGTGCTCTCAGACAAATCCCTCGCCCCCAAATTGCACCTGCCTTAGGAAAGTTGCCTTGTACAATGCCTGGCACAGGGCAGGCACCTTGCACATGTTTGTGAATATAAAAGAGAAAAATGAGGAGGGAAAAATACAAGTTTAGAGGACATGCACATTGAGGTAGATGCCTTTCAGATCTTACCAGATCTAAAATAAATGCTGTTATTTCTGGCTAAGTGGCTAATGATGCTAACTTGAAGAATAGCTATATTAAAAAAAAAAAGTAAATAGCTGTTAAAAAAAAGTAAAATTAGCAAATGAACAAACTAATAAAACACAAGGAAGATAAATAAACAAAAATCTACTGATTTTTAGCCAAATGGCCAAAATCTGATAAGATTTGATCATTTATATTAGAAAATGAATTTTTATTAGCAAAATGACCCTTAAAATATGATGCTTCCAAAAGAGCATTTGCAGCCTTTTAGAGACTAGTGTATTGCATAAAGAAAATACCTGCATATGTCTGCATTCAGAATTATAATATGAAGATAACTATTATTCATATAATAATGTGAATTTGCTCTGAAGGCCATCTTAAAATGCTATTCAATGTGCTCCTGAGGTATTCCATCTGAAACTATAAAAGCAAAGCAGTGCTGGGGTTTTTGCAGGTAAATAGACTCTAAAATCCGTGTGTCAGTGTTAGAAGACTGAATCAAACAATCCAAAAGCATGAATGTACTGTTCTCACATTTGTGTAATTGATGGCTATTTTGCTTGTTGAAATCTTCCACAACAACATGCGTATGTTTGTCATTTATCCCCTTTTCTCAGGTGCAAAGAAGGCTACCAGGGAGTCCGTTGTGATCAATTTCTGCCGAAAACTGATTCCATCTTATCGGATCCAAGTAGGTCAAGCATTTTTCTTCTCTCTCTCTAATGCAATATGTAGGCAACCCTTACTCTGAGCAACGGTTGCTAACTCAGCTGAAGGCTGTATTTCAGTCATGTGTCTTGGAAAGCTGCCCAGAGCGGAAGCTGGTGACAGTCATTAACATTCAAAGCTTGTTCAGAACTAACTTGGTCTAAGCCTAGGTCTGGTGTTCTCCCAACACGGGACCTGGTTTCCAGATTCAGCTCCTCCACTGACCTACACTAGGAACTCCAGCAAACCCCTGTTCCCTTAGCTTTCAGGCTCCCACCAACACCCATTACGAAAGCGAGGAAATAGACACATAACAAAGCTCTCTCTCTTTTTTTTTTTTTTAGCTCATTATTACCTAAAAGACTGTTATGGAAACTACAGTATCATATTGGTTCTTACCCTTTGCTTGAGAATTTGTGATAACATTAAACCTATTAACTTTTACTGTACTTACTAAAGAAACTATGCATATAAAATTATGTAAGATGTGTCCCAACTGTGAAAACCCCATTTTGAGCAACACTATTTGCATATTATGGATTATTGTACTGTTGACATTTTTTTTTCATTCAGGAAAGAAGACAATTTGCTAGTCATTAGTTTCTATAAAAGGTAACATTCTAGTCAAATGTGAATGTTTTGCTTTATTCGGAAATAATCTTCTGCTCTCTCAGTGACTACTACAGTTAAATTGCCAGTGTGGAAAGGAGATTTTTACTGAATCAGCAATTTAGTTCCATGAGGATAATGACAGGCACTTCCAAATCACAGACGCAATGTTATGGTTTTCTGAATAACAAACATGCCTAAGACAAACTTCAACAAAATATTGTGTATCGACAACAGACAAGTTGCCTTCCTGTGCGTGTTCACGCCGCTGTATAGTGAACACGTCTAGCCATCTTTCAACATCTTTTCGAAATGCATATTTTTATTCCCCTTGCCCCAAATCTCCACCTACATTTCCTTAGGTAAATGCAAAGTTTTTTTAGCAAGGAAAAGTTTTGTTTAATTTCATTTAATTGTGTTTTATCTTGGCAAGACAAGCTACCATGCAATCCTAACTCCTCGCTTCTTTCCAAATTTAACTCTCCATAGGAAAAGTGAAGGTTTCCTAAAATTTAGCAAGCAAGCAAGCCATGGATTATCTCTGTTCTCTGAGATGTGAGGCTCTGGTGTCTAGGAATTACCCTGAAAGGAGACAGTTACTAGAGTATATTATATTTATTTCATCTTGTGATTTTGCCGCTTGTTAAGGTGATGTCTCAAATGTATGGATGTGGTTGGAAACATGGATTTGGACTATTAGAAAGCCCATGGAAGAATGGGCTTGCTGATTTCTTTCTTTAATCTTTTTTTATTTTGTCTGATGTACCTGGTTTCCCCTCTTCCTTCTTTCTCTCCTCTTTACTTCCCTTCTGTTCTCCCCTTTCCTTTATTCTATTTCTTCATTATTTTCTTTCTTCCTTTGAGGCTTCTCCCTTTTCCTTCCCTTCCTACCCCCCTTTCCTCCCTCTGTTCCTTCCTTCCTTCCTTCCTTCTTTCCTTTTTTTTTTTTTTTTTTTTTTTTTTTTTTACTTTTCTTATATAACCATGGAATATCTATCTATAGAATAGAGGGCAGGGTATGGAGGTAGGACTTGCATATGGTACAAAATAGGCAAAATAAACTTTCTTTGGACAGTCTAATCAGACCCTTGCCATCCACTTAGGTATCATAGTCCATCTCTGCAAAACTGAGGATGAGGCCCACCATAAGGACTGTGCTCCTCAAAGAAAACTGATCTCATAATCAAAGTCACTAAGTCTGAAAACCTAGTCTTAATATGCATAAAATATTTAGTGTGGCAGTATTTCTAATAGTGAAAAATGGACACATTCTGAAAACCAACAGCAAAACTTATGTTTAAGTAAAATACCATATGGCATATCCATAATGATCTATAATAACCATTAGGGGGCATCTGGGTGGTTCAATCGGTTAAGCAGCCAACTCCTGATTTCAGCTCCAGTCATGATCTTATGGTTCCTAAGTTTGAGCCTTAGTGCCTGACAATGCAGAGCCTGCTTAGGATTCTCTCTCTCTCCCTATCTCTCTGCCCCTCTGCTGCTCATGCGTGCACTTCCTCTCTCTCTCTCTTTCCCTCTCAAAAAAGGTAAATAAAACTTAAAAAATTAAAATAAATAAATTGTCATTAAAAGGATACCTGTAAGAAATATTCTTATTAGGTGAAACAACAAGATAGAAAATAATTTTTACATGAAATTACAGTAGGAATATCCCTTGGTCCAACAGTAGAAAAAAAAACCATATACTGAAATGCTGAAAGGGAATTTTAGTATTTGGATTATGGAAGTATATGATTTTTTTTCCTTTTTCTCCTGTTTCCTATAATATGGCATATCATTATGTGAATCAAAACTCCAGAAAGTCTTGAAATAAAAGCTAAAAAATAAAGCACTGAAAAACCCAATGGATGAGTCCCTGATATACAGTTTAAATGGGAAAAACATTATAACACCATTTATCCATGCATGCCTCCATTTATGTATACAGTCATTGATTCATTCCACAGATATTTTCTGAACATATGCCAAAGGGAGAAAACACATGCATACATAAGCATGGGCACAAATCTGGTGGAAACACTCCTTTGTGATCTTGACAGATTCACTTGGCCCCTGAGCCTCAGGCTTATCACCCCAGTAATGGCAATAATAATTCCTACAGGCACCTATCACTAAGGTTGACAAGAAGTCAGTGCCAGATAAACATTATCCCACTTCCTTGATTCATCATTATAATCATACTAATATGTGTTTAGAGCACACATGTGCCAGTCACTGTGCCAAAGAGCCTTACCTGGCAACTGCTCACATTTGATAGATGAGGAAATTGGGCCTCAGAGATGTTAAATAAACTTGCTCAAGGTCATGCAGCTAGTTAATGCTGGAGTCTACCTTCTGATCCAAATGACTCCGGGGCCTGTGCACGCGACTGCAGGGCTCTTCCCTTCCTCCTCCTCCTTCCTCCACTTATTTCCACTATGACATTTATCACTCTAAATTTCATTGACTGAAACCCAATGACCTGCAGCCAACATTATTCTAAGGAACAATATTTGCACGATTTTCATATCTTAATGCAGCAACTTGAGCTTCCATAGAGATTTAAATCCCTAATGAAATTTTCTTGTCAAAATTCTTGCTGAAGGATCGTTTAATTTGCTGCACATGATATCCTAGAGTGACTCTGCTCTCAGGAAAAAGGCTTCCCTCCAACTCCCTCCCTCTTTTTTCCTCCTTTCTCCCCTTCTTCTCTCCCTTCATCCTTCATCCCTCCCTCCCCATTCTCTGAAGGCATGCACAATTGTAGCGAAATCCCAGTTAACAGAGGGTTAGAAGCCTCTGACATTTTATTCTTCCCCAGCCAAAGCAGACTTGATTGGAAATGTTCATCTTTCCAATTAATTTAAAAAATAAATAAATAAAACCTCAATATAGGTGTATTTGGGGAAATAATGCCAGGATGTCACTATGAGAAGTCTTAATGGCTACTATGACCAGCGTCTGTACCATGGTCCCAGGCTGGATCCTCAGACCTGCTATTCCAAAACCTCATTTTTTACCCCCCCCAAAGAGCCTGTGGTTAACTCCACTCAGGAAGAGTTGTATACACACATGAATCAAACTTATAGAGTGCCTTCATGTCAGTTTTTGAAAAAAATATCTTATGCATATAACTATCAGGTAAATCAAACCCTCATACAGATTCAGTGCACAGAAGCCACATTCTGATCACAAAGATGAGTAGTAAGCATGGGTTCAGTAGTAAATGGTAAGAGGAACAGACTATGGTCAAGAGGAGATGACCGTCTATGAGGGAGTTAGCACCAGCTGTTGTAGCATACCTGACTAGCATATATCTATACCCTGCCTCCCACTGATGCCAGCCAGCCCTGCCCATGGATAGCAGCAGTCAACTTCCAGGAAGCCCCACAGTCTTCTAGACAATTTCTGATTTAATTCATTCAGAACCAGTCTCCTTTCCCTCAAACACGGGATCAACCTATACTCCTTTCCGGTTTTCTCTTCCTAATGACCTGTACCCACCCAGGTAAGACACCATATTCAGCCTTGAGGCAGAGCCAGATGGACCTGAAGAATCATGAGCTGGTCAAAGATTCAGACAGATTGGGTCTCCTCTCTTAGGAGCACCTGCTGACCTGAGTTATAGTGAAGATCCTCATATCATCACTGGCCTTTGGAAGCCTGAGAGCAGCTCTAGAGAATGGATTCAGAATGGAATCAAAGAATGGTATGAGGTGGAGAAGACACCCATCCACAGTGAGGGTCCTCCTCCCATGCGGCTGGAAGTAGCCATTACCAGACCTGTGACTTCTACCACCCAGGGCCCCCATGGCTGGCTACAGGTGACAAATCATCAGGCCCAAACTTTGGCATGGGGCTTTTATAGCTTAAACTCTCAGAGTCATCTAGTCTCCACAAAGGGAAGATGGAGGAGAGCTTAGGATCCAGTTCATATAAACTGTTAAAAGAAAAATCTCCACAACTTACACATCTAATAAATATTCAGCAATTCATGAATGGGGCAGCATCCAATCTAGCAGATAGAAAAGACCTCTGAAGAGCTGTAGAAGGTGAGAGATTTTTATAAACCAAAGTGAGTAGGAATAAGGGATTTACACTGGATGTTTGCTGATTGGTTAAAGCAGGGTTACCTTCTTTATATGGAACAAAGAAGTCTTAGAGCCAGGTCAGGTAACTTGTGTTGAGCAAGCAAGAATGGATTGGTTGACCTTGGCCTTCCTTGTGTGGGAGAGCATAGCATAGAAACTTAAAGTTAAGTTTCGGTTTGCTGATGTGGGGCTTAGCATAAACAATTCCACTTTAGGCCTAATCTGGTTATTATAGTACTGATTTACAGTCACACTTTTGTTTCTTCATATCTTAGAAACCAGGCTCTGCCCTTAGAGTGGCCTATAAGGTGCCAGAAGCCTGGTCTGGCCATGGTTCAGAGGAAGGCTAGCAGAAAAAAAATGGGGTGGGTTTAAACTTCCCATCCCTCCAACCTGTGTTTGTGTGACCCCAACTTCCCAGGAATAATCACTTTGGGAATCCAAAAAATAAATTTGCCCTAGCTTGTGGTTCTAGCTCCAGAGGGGGTACTGGCAGTGAGTCAGTCAACACAGCCCAATTCTAATGGTTTGCAGGGGCAACAAATTTATCAGGCCTGAACACAGTAGGTCTCTTTCTTCATGTGCTGGGAATCCCATTCGGTCATCACTCACCCAATGCTCAAACCATTCAGCTCAGGGCAGAGTGATGCTGTTTGCAGTTTGGAGCTCAGTAAAGGACAAGGAAACTTGAGAGCTTCCTCAAAGAACCATTGTGGAGCCCCAGAGCCCAGGCAGGTGTTGGCTAAGCAGACACAGGAGGTTTCCTTGAAGAATATCAGTTGGAACTTTCCCAAAGAGACTCATGCTCTGCATTCTTTCTTTTCTCAATGTCATGATTGCATGAAATTGTTTCTACAATTTCTAAATGTTTTCTACCTTATAGGAAAGTGTTTTATGTGTCTACAATTAGATGGAAAAGTGTAAGGGAAGGTGCTCTGAATTAAGAGTTAAAGGGTTTTGGTTCTAATCCTGTGACCACTTGCTCTTAGCAGTGTGGCCTTGGGAAAATCATAGTGTGATTGAGCCTGTTTCTTTATCTGTAGAAGGATTCTGGTTAAAAGAAGAAAGCAAACCTTAGTACAGAGGTGGCTGTCTCTGCAAGCCATTCAGAGGTGGAGTCAGATGCATAGCTGAATTAATATATCTTTTTGTTCATTCTTTTATTTATTCCATAATTAGGCACATATAAAGTGCACCTACTATCAATAAACTCATAGTCTAGTAAATTGCCTTTATTTAAATTGAATTGTAGGTGCCAAAGGATGTAATGTCCCCAAGAGAGAGAAAAAATTTTTCATTTCCTCATTCATTCAAATGTATTAAGCATTTGAGATAATCTTACCTAAACTTGATGGGTTCTGGTTTTCTTCTTTATAAAATATGAATAGTCTCTAACCTATATAGTTATTGTTAGGATTAAATAAAACAATTCATTCAGAGAACTTTGTGCTTGACACATTGTAGGAGCTCAATAAATGTTATCTATTATTATAATTATGATTTTTTTTTAATTTACTTAAACCATTATCATTGCCTTTATAACTGCACAATATGCAAGTTACTGAGACAGGTACTTCCAGGAATTAAAAAGCATGAGGCATATTTCCTGAAATCAAGTATCTCCAATTGCATAGAGGCAAGAAAATTTTATAAACAAGAAAAAAACCACACATAAAAGACAAGACAGATTAAGGAAAGATCATAAAAATGGTTGGGCAACATAAGTTCACATAAAGTTAAGGGGGCAGATTTGGGTTGCTTACAGAAAGCTTATCTATGAGAGAGTATTATAATGAGTTTTCACATGGGGTGCTGTGGCTGTGTATACAGGCTGTACACGGCCCAACTGTATAAGGATCATTCACCCTAGATTGAGAAGGATTCTATACAAAGGTGTGCAACATGGTCCTGGGAAGGAAATTTCCAGTATAAATCAGATGGAGAAAAAGAAGTCTCTTGAGGGTATGCAGCATAAACTGTCACCACCTGTCCCTGGTCTATTAATCGATATTGATAAGAGGGGGTATCTTCTAGACTGGAATCCACTCAGAATATTTAAGTCTTTTAAATTACTTTGCTTTCCAGTAGCCACAAAAATATGGTTAGCAGAATGGATCCATTCAAAAATCTGCAACTCTTCTTCAACTCTTATTACCACTTATCTGGACTTGAAAGAGAAGTAACAGAATTGTCAGATTTTAACCATGCCTCTGTCAATTTCATAAAGTCTATCAGTTCTGTCAGATCTATGGTTTTTTCTCATTCAAATGCTATTATCTTCAAATCTACCCTTTTAATTTGTACAAAATACCTAACATTTACCAATTAAACATGCAAATGCACCCAATTTCTAGAACCCCCAGGAAGGTAAATATATTTATAAACAAAGAACAAAATTCCCAGCATCACATCATTCAGAGTTAACCACTAATAATCATTTTGCTGCATAGCAATCCAACTATTTTCTAATTTTCATGTGGAAATATATGTGTGTGTGTGTGTGTGTGTGTGTGTGTGTGTGTGTGTGTGTATGTGTATATATATGCAGTATCAATCAATATATTGAAAGTAAGATGTCTAGGGCCAGATACCATTGCCTCCCTCAGCTTCTCTGCTCTGCTTCTTTCTTCCCAGCTTGCTAACTGCTGCTTTCTCTAACTTAGCCCTAGCTTGCTGAGGGTCTACTCCACCTAGGACAATAGTGGACTGTCCTTATGCCTGCTCAGGCTGGCTGGTCTTAAGACAGTCTGCATCCTGTCTTTCTTGTGTGTGGCCCACAGCTAGTCTACAGGACCTGCCAACATTTCTGTTGTCCGAACATGCTCTTGAGAGTCATCAGACTCTTAGAACCAAATGGCTTTCTTACCCATCTTCCCCTGTTCCTTTAATGTTTTCAGAGTCAGCGAGAAAGATCAAGTGTTATGGAATGGCTCTAGATAGTTCAATTATTTCCTTTATAAATTCTACATTTAGTGATTAGTCTCACACTTCATTATCTATTATCCCTTTTATTGACACCTTACATCAAATGTGAGGTATGAGGAATTCTAACATTTTGCTGCATAATATATTAATTCTTCTTAAAAGTTGGAATCATTCTATACATAATTTGTAATCTGCTTTTTGTCATCACTTAATATATTATGACCTTTTCCCCCACAGCATTATATAATCCTATATTTTTCTAAACTATTAATTTAAAGAGTCTAACATTATACACATATCATATAAATTATTTACCAATCTTCTATGCTGGGTCATTTAGTGTATTTCCAATTTTTTGTGATTACAGTGACTGATAAGCATTATGCATAAGTCTCTACCTTGTGGTACAGATTATTTTTTAAGAATACATTTCTGGACTTTTTATATACTTGGAAAACTTTTTTCTCCCGAAAAGTTATATTAATTTATATTTCCATGAACACAGTATGAGAAAGTTGATTTTACTTTTTCCCCTCACCAGAAATGAATAGAATTTTTTAGTTGATAATTTTATAGGGAAAATTATAGCTCACTAGTGTTTTAAAAAGAATTTCTTAGATTACCAACACAACTGAATACTTTTTCATTTGTATATTGATCAGTTGATCAGTTTCATTTCTAATTTTGTGGATTTTTAAATTATTTTCCTTGCTCACTTTCAAGTATGATAACTTTTTTGTCTTCTTTAAAAAGTTTGCTATTTTGAGGATAACAAACTGTGCACTATCACATGTTATAATTTTTCTAGATTGCTCTTTGATCTGTTACTTGTGTTTTTTGACACACATAGAAGTTTTGCCTTTTATGTGATCAAATCTATCAGCTTTTTTAAAAAGTAGTTCATATGTTTTAATACTTGGGCTTCTTTCACATGAAATGAGATAAATATTTTATTAATTTAACTATTAAAATTTGATTGTCTATATAATTTAGCATGACCATGTATGTATGTTTGGTTGCATATAGTCATAGTCTGCAATTTATATTCATGAGAGAGTGAAGGACGAGTTCTATGAATAATTACAAAGACCAAAAAAATGTGAAGCAGTACTTTATGGTCTCCCATATTTGTAAAATATATGTTTACATTTAATACATGAACTTCAAAAAAAAAATTTAGAAGGCAATGCATTACAAAATGTGGTAGGATTATACATAATTTTTCTTACCAGCATTTTTCTGTATTCTCCCAGTTTTCTATAATACATATTTATTAACTCAGTAATTATTTAAAGTATAAAAATAACAACAAACATTTTTTTTAATTCTTACAAATTTTTTAATTCTTTTGTGTGTGTGTGTGTATCTCCATTTATTTGTTTATTTGTTTGATTGGATTCATCCATTCATTCATCCATGTGGATTCATGGACATTTACTTTATTCCAAAGGATTGTCTGCACACAGACAATCTCAGCTGAAAATAGCCCTTTGCTTTCTGGGAGGTTTCTCATATTTTATTTTATTTTTTTAATTTTTTTATTTTAACATTTATTTATTTTTGAGACAGAGAGACACAGAGCATAAGCAGGGGAGGGGCAGAGAGAGAGGGAGATACAGAATCTGAAACAGGCTACAGGCTCTGAGCTGCCAGCACAGAGCCCGACACGGGGCTCAAACTCACAAGCTGCGAGATCATGACCTGAGCCAAAGTCGGACACTCAACCGACAGAGCCACCCAGGCGCCCCACATATTTTAGTTTTATTATTTATTTATTTATTTTCATTATTTATTTATTTATTTATTTA